GGTCAAGTGATGGACTAGCTGCAAAGGGCCTAATCAAGCAAACTTCCATCATTCAGTAGCTTTAATATTGGAGCTTTAAGAATAAACAGTATTTATTCATTAGCACATGATAACGCAATTACAGTTCTCACGATTTTATACAGTTAGTTATGAGTAATTTTACTCGTATAACGTGTAAGGTTTTTAGCTGATAGCTTACTGAATAATCTAAATTTAAAAGAACTAAAATACTAGAATACTCGTTTTTTCCTCTGCACCAGTCATCACACCGTGAAATAAGAAAGAATAAAAAAAGTGACTTTTAAGGTGGATAATTTTGCACATCTTGCTAGCTTCATATAAATTTAGAATACTTCAGTTTTTCAAGCTAAATAATACTCAATACTAAATATATTTATTGAAGTACACTATTTTGTATTTTTAAGGGAGTTTTAACGGAGGATGGATATCCCAATACGCGAATGCCGATCAGTTCTTTCAAATTGACTTGGGTTTAGTTGCCAAGGTGACAAGGATCGCTACTCAAGGTCGAGATGATGCAGGCTGGTGGACGAAGACTTATACAATAGATTACAGTGTGGACGGGGGAACATTTCAACCATATGGCAAGGTAGGCGTGTGTGTAAACAACTATTCATTTTAGAATGGCAGCATTCTTATTCGTTCTTACAGATAATGTAATAAACTCGATCAAAACGAAAATGGTTCTTCCGGAAAGAAGCATGCTCGAGCTCGTACGTTGACTTTGCTTTCCGCCTTGCTCAGCTTTGTAAACCGCTGTTATGCCTTTAACGGATGCGCTTGGAAGGTGGTGCGTTTCNTTTACATATCTATTTACATTTACATATTTACCTTTGATATTTGAATTATGTACATGAAGGTTTTCCCGCGCCCAAACTTCCAGAGTGCATGGTGGCCCTTGGAATGCAAAACCTTCAAATACCAGACTCTGCTATTACAGCCTCGAGCTCAAGCAATGCAATCAGTTTTGCTCCGTACATTGGTAGGCTCCATTTTCTTTCTGCTGGCAGCGGTAAGTACGGAAGCTGGGCTGCAGGAACTAACAATGAATTCCAGTGGCTTCAACTTGATCTCGGAAGCTGGACAAAAATCTCGGCCGTGGCAACACAAGGAAGACAAGATGCCGATCAATACGTGGAAACCTACACTCTTTCATTCAGCTATGATGAAGTTTTCTGGGAAACTGTTAAGAATGAACACGGCATTACACAGGTACAAATATTGGAAATACATATTTAAAATGAGGCGTTATGTTTCAGGTCAGTTCTAAAACGCAGTGCGAGATCATTTGTTTCTACTATTTTTCGATTGTAAGGGGGCAGCTGTTTTGAAGTAATGAATTAGATGTAAGGTTGTACTTGTGTAATTATTGCAGTGGTAAAATGCAACCATGACTTACCTATCTATCTGAAGAAAGGCGACAAGGGCGTTTGTCGTGAGCTGTAATTTCAGGTTGAATTCCGGTTTGGGTGAGAACATTTAGCCTAAGATTTTGTTTGTTTGTTTTTCCTTCAGGTCTTTACTGCCAACTCGGACCAATACACAGTAGTAAGGAACGTATTGCATAAGCCAGTTATAACCCGGTATTTCCGGATTAATCCAAAATCATGGCATGGGCACATCTCCATGAGAGCTGAAATTTACGGTTGCAGAGAAGGTACTCTACTGGAGTAATATTATCTTGAATGATCTTATCTTCATGAAATGTGTTTTCTTTAGGGTTCACCTTTGCCAGCGTAATAGGCTCTCAGCAGAACCTTGATGACTAGTTCACAATGTGCAAAGGTGCATTCAAGGACTTCTGGAAATCGCCACTGATTTCGGTCAGCTGCTCGTCGTTCCAAGTGAACCCATGCCCAACCACTGTCTTTTATCTTTCTCCACTGTCCTCNTACCGTCAAGATGTTCTATTGTTTGTTACGTTTATAGGTTTCGAACCACCAAAGATCGTCTGCGCAGAAGCGCTGGGCATGGAAAGTGGAGACATTCCTGACTCTGCATTAAAATCAACGTCAAACTATAATCAATACTCTGGACCTGAAAGAAGCAGATTAGACGAAATAAAAGAGGGTAGTTATTACGGTGGATGGTCGCCAAAGCATGCTGATATTGGACAATGGCTACAGATAGACTTAGGAAAGGTAACAAAGGTCACCAGGATCGCGACTCGGGGAAGAGACCAAACCAACTGGTGGGTGACCAAGTACACGCTGACTTACAGCAATGGTGGAAAGTTTCAGCCCTACAAAAATGGAGAGGTTAGTTTATTGTCATAGTCGCACTGATTGCAATTAATCAGTAAGTCTGAGAACCCGTATGGGTTTGTTAAGTATGTGTGTATTAATTACGAACAATTCTGGAAAGAATGAACATTAATTAAAGGTTGTTAAAGATGAATTGTACATAATGCCGCAAACGTGGGACAGAGGAAAATTATGAGTCATTGACGGGAGTCGACCCATGACCTTGCAGATAGACA